GGGGCAATAAAATGGGCAACTTTTCTTGGTGTGAATATTCCCCAAAGATTGATTCTCCTCTAATATGGTGGGCAGCCAAGCTACATGTATCTGGTAAATATCTTTGGTGATTTAAAAGACATAATCCAGTTCTAACATTTCAGATCCTGGCCTAAAATTTTATATCCATACGGCAACAATCAAATACAGCCCTGGATAAATGCCAACTAGGCATTCTATTTACCCCCAAATGTTTGGGGGATACACTGCTGATGTAATAAGGTCATACCAGATAGGACTAGAGAGGATGCAGCTCTGCTATGGAAGCCATCCTTCACATTAGCTTTGGGCTGGGGGAAGTAAGCCATAATAAATTTAGCAATAATCCTGTAAGCAAGTGGACATGCTCCGAAGCTCACTGGAACCTTGTGTGATTTAAGTAGCCTCCCAGCTGAATGGGGGAGCTTCCATTTAGAAGAGGCTGTGCACAGCAGACACAGCATGCAAAGAAATCTGATCAACACCTTGCCCTCCTGGATGAGCTTTTGCAGGGATTTGCGCCTTGCACTTACTTGATTAGTTTACTGTTAGCTTTACTGGGAGATCCCCTCTATTAGAACTAATCACAGGCTCCCAGGGGCATGATTTTCATTCAGAGAATGTACTAGGAGTTTCCAGGAGAATTAGTAGTGATCATCATAATAAAGATGATACCAGGGCCCCAAGAGCTGCTTCAGAACTATATAGTGCCTGAAGGGGTCATGGTGGTGCTGAATCTTTTCTGCCCAGGGAGGTGGGAGTGAGCAGCAGCTATTTTGTTAGCTGAAGTGCAAGGAGGTGCTGTTCTGAATGGTGGGTGTATTCCCTCTGGTGTCCTAGCCTCCTTGCACACAGAAGGCCATTCTCTGTTCCCCCACATCACTGAGCTTCATGCCAAAGCAAAGAGGGGCACTCTTTGCAACATCATTAACCCCAGGCAGTGAAACATACATGCGCATCCATATCTATACCTCCTCTTTTTCCCCCACCATACACACAGAGAAAATTTACATCCCCAATGACTAATGTTTCATATTACCCTTCAATGAAAATGTGACTTTTATAGCTCATATTTTTATGACACCAGAAGGTGAACGAAATTGGGGAAGACTCAGAGGATGTGGGGGGGATACGTTTTTTTTCACTTTGCTTTCAATATTTATAATCCTCTCCAAATCTAAGATTCAGAGAAAGCCGAGAAGCAGGAGAGCAAAAGTAAGCTTCCTTTCTTTTTATAGAAAATAGGGCTGAGAGAATGAGGGTGAATGAAATCCATCAATCATTCCCTGGATTGAGGCACACTTAAAAGTCCTTGGATACACATTTTAAATTTCCAAACTATACAGAATCAAACACCAGCTGGAGCCCAGGGTTCTCCTCCACTGGGGGGGGGGAGGGTCGACTCACACAGCTGCCAATCTGGCAGGAAGAAACACGAAGACACCTCCCACCCCCGCAGCCACATACTCCCATTCCCACCCCCAGCTAACACGAGTGTGGCACTGCCAGTGCTCCCTACCCATCCCTGGGACCTTGAACTCAGCCCCCTTCTTACTTTGAGTCAATCTAGCTAACCATGCTAAAGAATCTCAAAGGATTCCAAAACCCAGAAGCGGGGAGGCAAGGTTAAAGGTGCGCATTTACCTGCTAAGGTTTTCCAGGTTTCCCTCCAGCCCTGCTGGTAATCCCGCGCAGCACAGCTCCCTCCCCCAGATCCAAACTTTTGCTGGGTCCTCCAGGTGGCGGCGGCGGCTGCTGCAGCCCAGCTCTGTCTCTAGTTGCGTCGGAGCTCCGGGAGGCTGAGGCCAGAGCCTCAGAACGGTGCGCGCCTCCCGGTAGCTTGCCGGAGCCTGAGCGCCCGGCTCGCCTTGCTCGCTGTCGCCTGCGTCCCCTACGGAGCCACGGCATCGTCTTCCCCCGTCCTCCGCCACCTCCGCCTCCAGGGGTCGGGCATGCCACTTTATCTAGGCTCCGGCAGCCTCAGCTCCGGTTTCTTTTCCTCTTCTGGCTCCCCCTCTCCGCCTCGAACCCCTCAAAAAGTAGGGAGATGTAGGAGATCGGTGGGGAACGTCCCGACCCAGTCTGGGACTGCAGCGAGGCAGAGGACCGCGGGAGTCAGCGAGAGAACTGGGCTGGCGCTCGGTCTCGGCGAGTGTGCGGACCACGCGCAGCAGGGCGTGCAGCTCCGGCTGGCTGCGCGGGGGCGGGCGCGGGGCTGACTCCAAGTGCAGCGTCTGCGGGGCGCGGGTCTGGAGGCTGCTCCCAGCCACACTGCTGCCTTGATCGGACCCGGCCCGCTAATGTAGACGCCGAGGTCCCCACCCCCACCCCTCTTGACACCCCCGGGAGATGTTTACTGTAATGAATTCGCGGGATCGGCTTTGCAGCTTGCGCGCCCCTCCTCTCCCTAGGTCCCTCGTGCTCTGGCTCCCCTCTGCGAGCCCTCTTTCTTGGCCTCCCTCTTCTCCTCCCTCCCAAACCGAGTCCCTCCCACTTCTCCGGTTTAAAGAATGCTTGGGAGGAGCCGCAGCAACCCTAAGCTTTCCAAGAGGCAAAGTCAGATGGGGCGTTTAACCCTGTCTTCCCTGGAGAGGGTTACGTGCACCGGCTACCCCAGGAATGCCAACTTGACCCAGCTATCTTTAAGCGTCAGGCGTCCTCCCTACCCTCAGCTTCTCTAAATGGTGAAGGACCCTTTCTCTGCAGTTCGTTCGCTGGACGTCTACGCCAGAGGAGCTATTACTTAGACTCAGAAATGATCGAAACGTAACATTAGAGGGTAAAAATATAGAAAGTCTCTCAACCAAAATGGCGTTATTTTACTCGCAGGCAACACTGGGGATGTGCTGCACCCCCAGTGCATCAAAGGTCTGCTCGTCAAGCTTTCTTCCATAAACTTTAATTGGAAGAATTAGAGTTTGGCATCATATTTTAACACATCCACTTCTCCCTGTCACCCTGGCTGCTCCTGGCAAGAGTGACGTCCAGTGGGTGAGTTGTCTCTATAAATTACGGTGGACAACCGAAAACGTCCCTGCAAAGACTATGAAAACAGGCTGCACAGTTAAAACGTCCAACCGGCACACCTTTCTCACTTAGGATTCTCTTTGCAAAGGTTAAAGTGTAATCTAAGAAATCTGAGACATGTCTCTTTCATTTGATCTCTTTCCTCTTTTTTTTTTTTTTTTTTTTTTTTTTTTTTTGGCAAGGGGTTGGTGGCCTGGTTGCTCCTCTATTCCTTGCTGCCCAGAAGTCTCCAGCAACTTGTGATCGTGTTTTAACTAGTCTGGAGACCGGCGGAATACTAACAGAAGAGGGAGAACAAGCCCGCACCAAGCATTAGGCGGCAATGAGACGCGCTGTGGGTAGGACCCCGGGAAAAGCAATTTGCAAGTTGAAAGCTCGCTCTGGACCAACTCCCTGGGGATCTTCTCGGCATTCTGGGCTGACGACTTTGGCAAGGGCGTTGCCTGTAACCCGCTGGAGATGATTTCCGGACTAAACCCAGGCGCGACCGCACTCCTTGTCCTCGGTTCAAAGTCTGAGTCACTTGGCTCCACTTCCCCGATTGTTTTTATTTCCTTGCATCGCTGTTGTGTCTGCTACCTTCATGGATTTCAGCGCTTAAATCCTGGTAAGACGACTTGGAGAAACGCCCGATTTGTCTCCCAAGCCACACAAGGATCCACCCAAAACGCACCGCGACACACTCATTCGCACACATTGACAGACATCACTGAGGTTCAAGAGAGCTTGCCACTCTTCCCCGTCGTCCTTTACATACACAAAGGCGACTAGAAAACACTTATGTTTAGCGTGTCTTTTCTCCAGACTCAAAGCGTAACTGACAGATATCCAGGAGAGAATGGGGAATTAATAAAGACTCTAATCTAAGGAGAATATATAGTGAGAGTCATCCTGGGAGCTTCCAAAGAGAAGCGACAAGATGACAGCAGCGATGGCAGTAGCCTTTAGCAGCAACTACCCCTGGCCAAGCTCCCTGGCAGGCAAAATAATTTATCCAAATAGCAAGTGTAGGACCAGTCCTTTCAAGACGGACAGACTCTTTCCCAATCTTCTTTTCGCTGATTAGTGCAGAGACCTTAGCTACCTGGGACCCTTGATCATGAAAGGGATTACAAAACAGAAGTGATTCGCACCGGTGCTGAACGACCTGGACTGGTGATTTTAGCAGAGAAATCTTTCTAGGAGGCCCCTAGCCTGGTGGGGACATAAAGACAGTTGGATGGGTCCTTCCCCCTACTACTCTGGGCATCTGCTTGGCCTTGCATTCAGCGCCTGGGGACATAGAAGGACCCATCTCCAAGTCCCAGGCACGTAGGCAGGGAAAGTGATCCTAGGTCAGCGCTGGGATCTCTGGGGTACTTCTCCTTTTCCTGGGGGTGAGTAGGGAAAGGGCAATCACACCAGCCCAGCAGAGCGGAAGGGTCCTTGGATTGGAAAGAAAGCAAACTAGCATTCTCAGTTTAGTGGCTAATTGATCCCGGATTTGGGCCACAAGGAGGATAGAGGTTTCAGATAAGGACATTTAATAATAATAACACTCTGGTATTCAACACAGATGAATTGCTACTTACCGGACTTAAAGGGAGTCAGTCTAGGGGGAATGAGAGGCTGGAATGCTAAAAGCATGGGGGATTTGGAAAACTCCATTTAGGATGGATGTTTCTGGCAGGCAGCAAATGAACGATTTTTTTACCCCAAAACTCAAGTCACAAAACTCTCTAGAAGATATGGATTCGACTTGAGAGTATAGAAGTCCTTCCAGTAGGGATGGGGGGGGGTAGTGGAGGTATTTTCTATGGGAATAAAGAGACAATACTTAGAACACCCACCCGGTGACCACCCACCACTTGTTCAAAGAAGGAAAAATTAATAAATTTTCCCAAATAAAGTGGTGCCCACGTCAGGAAAGCTAGGGAAGTCACTAGAAACTTCACCTAGCAAAGCAACCCCTTTACCTGGTGGTCTTGTCTCCTTAGCTCATCCGAATCCGACCGGGTCGGGGAGGTGGAAAGGGAAGAAGCTGGCACCGCAGCAGAGGGACTCCCCGGGCATGGTATTGTTTTAGGGGTCGCCGCCGAGGTCCCTCCTGCCCATCGTTGAGAAGTGCCACCCTGGTCCTGAGGCTCAGTGGACGCCCTGACCCGTGCTGAGCTACTGCCTCCGGCTGCTGGAAACTCGGGACGAAGGACCAGAAAGGAGCGCACCTGGAAGCAGAGAGCTCTGCATATTTGAGAGGCCCCACACTTGGTGTTATCTCCCAGCGCACATTCCTCGGTGGTGACAATGGATGACGCCAAACTCGCAAGCGATGGCGACCGCTTTCAGATGTACAACTAACTGCAAGGTACCCGGCGGCTAGACAGAAAGCTTCGTCCCCCCATCCCCCCTCCTTTCCCTCCTACCGAGGAGGGAACTAGCTTAACCCTGTATTCACCCTACACTCCGGATAGAAGCTAGATTGCGCTGAGAAACCACAGGCGGTGGCTCTCCCGGCAAAAGCTTTGTTCACGTGCAGTTCCAGTGGGCGTGTGGCTGTCTAGGGGCACTCGCGTGGCAAGATGCCAGTGGCGCGCTTTCTGAGCCAGACTAGGGAATTGGGAAGGAGCCTAGCGTTTCATCCGGACCAGACCCAGCCCTCACAATCTATTTTTTACCTTCAGTTACCGGATTTATTGAAGTTGCCAGAAAAGTTGGTTTTTTTATTCCTTTACTTCAGTGTCGTCGTTACCCCCACCCCCACCCCGCCCCTGGTATCATTTCCTTTCCCAGCTGCGCTTTGAAGACTTGGAAATCTCTGATCTAGTTCTAACTCTTAACAGAATTCCTAGGGCAGCGTGAGAGGAATGGAGGAGGGTACCCACTCACTCCTGGAAAATTTAAATGAAACCACACGGACAGTTGCCTCCCACCTCCCCATCAGAGGCCAATGTAAACTAAATGACATCACTCAAGTAAGGAAGATCAAGACACCTGAATATCCAGTGAAGACGGAATAAATAAATAAATAAACAAATAAATAAATAAATATATAAATCATACGTGACTGGGAAAGCGGGCAGAAAGAGAAAGGCTAAAGTGTAAACACAGCGGGAAGGAGGAATAAAAAATAAAAATATTTTAAAAAGGGAAGAAAAAGGAATTAAAAAGCGGGAAGCTGGAGGGGGGGGCGCTTGAAACAGCAGGTCAGTTTTAAGGAGATTTGACCAACAATGTCTCCCTGGATCGCTTGGAACAGGTTGATCAGCTAATAAACCCTTGCTGCAGTTTAGTAAACAGCTTTACCTATGCATTCAGAACTTCCAGGAAGTTAACAGAATGAGCAGAGAACAGTTTCGCTGACCCTGAGAAGAAACTTAGTCCTGAAAAAATCGTTCTCAGGCGCCTCTGCTGTAGCCTTCACACTCAAATGAGCCAAGACTGTGATCTGAAAGCAAGCCCAGATCCGTGCGAGGGCAGAATCTCTTTTTCAGGCTCTATTCTGCACTAAAGAAGCAGGAAGCTGTTAGAAAGCTCTGAGAGTTATAGGCAGACCTTGCTGAAACCGGATTGTTTCTAAGGGGAAAGCAAATCCTGCTTTTCCACGGAATAGATCCCGGCCCCCCACGCTGAAACATACCCAAGCCATTGTGAATAGAAGCCACTCCAAATGCCTATCTGAGCCATGCAGTCCTGAGAGGCCTGGAGAGCTGCTTCCAGATTTCAGAAGGAAGAATTCCGTTGTAAATCCTTCTGATTTGCCAAGGTGGCAGTAGAGCATAGGGATAGCTCCTGGAGATCTTGAATCCACAAAGACCACACACTTTAGAACAAATGCGCTTCCTCCTGCCTTTAAATATCCATGCTGCTATGCAAGTGTGCATATGTGCCCAAAGAACCTCTCTTCACCCTCCATCCTTCATCTGAGAGGATGGTTTACCGAGTTCACCCTTAAAAACATATTTTGGCTAACTGACAAAATGGAAGCTTAAACACACTTTGCTTTCATATTTATGCTGCTGGAAAGAGATTAATCTACCAGTGGGCATGGTTATCCATACATAGATTTTACTTTCAAGTATTGATGATTCTAAATTATAATGAAGATGCGATGAACATGATCTCCTTTTTAAAAAGCTACTGGTGCAGTTATGATTAGTATGTAATTAAGGAAAGTACCAGGAGGCAGAGGCAAAGGAAACTCTGTGGGTTCAAGGCCAGCCTGGTCTACAGAGTGAATTCCAGAAGAAGCTCCAGAGCTACAGGGAAACGCTGTCGCAAAAACAAAACAAAACAAAACAACAAACAAATAAACAAACAACTTTAGAAATGAATGAAGGTGGGACCAGACAGAGCAAAAGAAATGGATGTGGTCCAAGGGCTTCTGAGTCCAATGGTTTTACAAACTCACAGTCTGTGATAGCCATGCCATTTTACTTGTATTGAGTAATAAATCGGAATGGTAGCAGTAGTCTAAAGTGGGAAGAAGAGAAATGAAACAGAAAGCTAGCTCACTAGTAATCCTTAAGGCTTTAGTCCTTAATGGAGTTTTTATTGCAACTAAAATTTGATTGCCATCTCAAGTTATTTACCTCCCTTCTAATATCTCAAATTATTCTCCATTAATAGATTACATGTGCACATGGGTACAGGAGAACACACACACACACACACACACACACCCTGAGGGGGGACGACGGGGAAGGGACAGAGAAAGAGAGGGGAGAGAAACAGATACCTGGCCTGCTTTTCTAATTGTAGGTAACAGTTAAAAGAACACAATACCTGGATCACAGATGACAGTTTACTCCGCAAGTACTGAAAATTTCAATACTGTCTAAGTTCAAGTCTGCACTGAGCCAGTATTACTTGATTTAGAAAATGGACATAAACCTACTCCACCAGGGAATCAGCAAAGGCAAGGTGCATTAGACATGCATTTGCTTATTATCATTAATGGGGCTATCCTTACATCACATAGTCTTAGCATTCACCACACAGGCAATCTTATTATAGGCAGCATCTACTAATGTTCTCATTTTGCCTCAAAACTGAGAAACCATAACGTAACACTGCAATAAACTACTTTCACATTTCCCCTTACAGACGTTCCCTGTCTCAGAATCCCCTAAAGATGCCTCCAGTCCTTGCACTCTGACAGTTTATCAGATTCTCCTATTTTTAAGATCCTGAGGGTGTGTGTGTGTGTTGAGAGAGAGAGAGAGAGAGAGAGAGAGAGAGAGAGAGAGAGAGAGAGAGAGAGTGCTCCAAAGGTCTACTTTCTTCCCCAATCACTCTCCACCTTATTTTTTTCAAGACAAGTTTTCTCAGTAGAATTTACAGCTCACCAACTTGGCTAGTCTGGCTAGCTTGTAAGCCCTGGGGATACTCCACCCCAGTACCAAAATTACAAGAACACTTGCTCCTATCTTGTTATACAGAATATTAGAATGCAACCTCATGTTCCTATAATTGCATGGGAAGCAGCCACCTTCCCAGCCTTGATCCTGAGTGTTTTGAAAAGAAAGGATTAGGGATTTTGTGGCATTTCTCAAGTTTGTGTTCTCTAATATTTTTCCTGTTTCAACTTTCATTGTGGTTCTTGTGAATAATCATCAACCAATCGCATGGGGTCAGGTATCACATATTACATCAAAGATGTAATATTCCTTGCCAATTTTTCTGCCATAACTTTCTCTTTGCATTTAGTACTCTCTTCTTAGGAATTAAATTGCTAATCCCATAAATTTAGGATATACAAAACAGCAAAATAAGTGTTCCACATGACTGATAAGAACCTCAAATATAAATTCACGTTGGGTTTCTCACAAAGAAGACCCTCTCATGAAATACTTACGATACTTTTTCCTTTCCTTTTTTTTTTTTTTTTTTTTTTAACACTTTGGTCTGGGATAATTCACTTGTTAACTGTAAAGATTTGTCACTCATATTGTTTTAATAAGATGTGGATTGGCCCAGTAGTCAGGCAGAAAGTACAGGTGGGGCAAACCTAAGAGACTTCTGGGAAGAGGAGGGCAGGGACACATTGGCCAGCAAGGGGCAGAGGAAGCAGGATGAGAATGCCTTACTGAGAAAAGGGACCAAGCTGTGTGGCTAAACACATAAGAATCATGGGTTAATTCAAGTTGTAAGAGTTTGTTAGTAATAAGAATGAGCAATAGGCCAAACAATTTATCATTAATATAAGCTTATTTGGAACTAAAAGACTGCAGGACCAAACAGGACAGAAACTTCTGTCAACAGCAATTAAGGTGTTTGTGTGTGTGTGTGTGTGTGTGTGTGTGTGTGTGTGTTTGTGTGTGTGTGTGTGTTTTTTTTGATTACTAAATACATAAGCACTATTATCTACATCATTCCCGTTGCCATCCACCTCTTTCCCTCAAAAAAAGAATAATGCCCTATCAATTAGAGGTGTCATTAATCATTATTGTTACACACACATACACACACACACACACACACACACACACACAGAGAGAGAGAGAGAGAGAGAGAGAGAGAGACAGGGATGGAGAGAGAGAGAGAGGGAGAGAAACAGATGGGGAGACAGAGAGAGCCATGTGTCCAGGGTTATTGCCTACATGATATTGGAGATCCTCTAAGGATCCTGGTCCTTGTGGAAAAAAAAATTCTCCTTCTCTCAGCTACCATTGAGTAACCTCTAGGTGTGGGTCGAGTAGTACTTGTGCTATCCATACTGGCATGTCAACTGGTAATGTAATTACACAGCTCTTATTCAGGCAACTACATTATGAGGTTTAATGGGTCCATTTCCTATGTTATGCTTAGGTGGTATTATCTAAAATCAGGCATCATGGAATTCTGGATCTTACAACTTTTCAGACTCATTTTCCATAATGTCCTTTGAGCTATTTTTTGTGTAGAGATTTCATTGCAGATGTTCCAGTTGGGATTGAAAACCCACATACCTTATTTATTCTGAATTATGACAGGTTGCAGACCTTCATCTGTTTCAATAGAAGTGTCTTTGATGAAGGCTCAGAGCTGTACTTATATGTAGATTTAAGACAAATATGTATAATAGAGCTAAGATGTATAACAGTTTAGAAAAAAATGGCAGTTACTTTCCAAGCCTAGTTAGCTAGGTTTATAGTATCAGGTATTAATTCCTTACTGTTGAGCATGTCTTTAGTC